AATGGATTGGGCCTTATGAAGTATTGTTGACAACATATTCTTCTGCCAAACTGAAGGGAGTCCACCTTTGGGTACATCACACCCAATTGAGAATAACACCAGACTGCACTGGGAACTCTCCTCAACCTATAACTAAGTTTTATTCTATGGGGAACAGCCTTGGGGAGCAGGGAGACTCAAGAGAACCTGGGCAACTGAATATTAAGTATCCCCAACAACCTCTAGTGGAACATACTTGTGAGGCCTTCGAGGACCTTAAGATTTTATTTAAAAGGAAACCTGTTCTGTGTTAAGACATAAATGTAATTCTAATCAACTCCATGATTGTCTTATCCTGAACACTTCTAAAGGAAAAAGGGAGTCTAACACTCTCATAAAATTCCAACAAATCCTATTAGACCACACTCCTGGGGCTAATAATTATTGAGTGTGTGCATACTCTCCTTGACACAGAGGTTATCTATATATGACAGGATTTAACCCCCATCTTTGGGATAGACTTTTCTTGGCTCACCTCTTGGTTACCCAATTTAGGGTGGTTGAGATCCTTATTTGTTACAATACTCCTCTTATTAACAGTAACACTCTTTACTTGCTGTTGTATTCAGTGTCTACCTAGGTGCTTACCTGTCTTCAAGCCTCCAGAATTACAAGCTACTCTACAGGTACCCCTAGTCTCTTCTTCCCGGACTATAGCCAGAAGATTTCGTAAACTGTCCAAACTACAAGAAGCTTACTAACCCGGGATTGAGTTCCACCATCTTCACCCCCAGTCAGCAGGAAGCTAGGATGAGTGGTCGTCCCGTTTCCCAAAATTGTGGAACAGTAACCATTCTAAGGGGGAATTAGAAAACTGAGTAAAGTGTTCCCCAAGAATGTGGAACAGTATCTATTCTAAGGGGGAATTGAAACCGAGTAAAGTAAAAACTATTTCCCCCACCCTGGCACCCGGATGGGAATAGATAAGTAAACTAAATTACCCTCAACTATTTCCCCACCCTGACAGATGAGTATTCAGTTCCTTAAAGAACTGGATAGAAAACATTCTTTCCTGCAGGTGATAGACGCACTAAAAGTGTCTTAGAAACAACTTGTAAATTAACTCTGGCCCATGGACATGCAGCAATAGGGCAGAAAGGAACAAAAGTTAATCACAGACTCTTTTCCCTCTGCCCAAGCCCCTATCAGCTGATGACAGGAAGTTGGTGTGACTCATCTGCCTCTGGACGCAATCTCTTCACACATTTCACGTTCACGCCCCAAATTCCTCAACCTTTTGTGAATATGCACAACCCCCTCTCCTGAAACCTACAAAAACTGTATTTCGATGGCATCTCGGGGAGTCAGATCTGGGTACTGAACTACCCCTACTCCTTGCATTGCCACTTTGCAATAAATAATTTTCTCTCCTCTCAATCTCTGTGTGGAAACTGTTTTGGCCTGACTGCACACCAGGCAGGAATTTGCATTTGGTCCTATAACATGTGCTGCTCCCCACAGAAATACCCCAGGTGGATGATTTTAACAATCAGCAGCTCCTCACTTGCTCCCAGCAAATTCCACCAGGGAGTTTACAAAGACTTATGGCTAGAAAAGCCATACCAGGTAATTTACTACACCTCAGGCCACTCCTTGGTTTTTCTAGCTATTATCCCATCCCTTTTATACTTCAAAAATTAACATCCCCTTTAGCATCAGTTAAGTATAACCAGACCCATGAAAGTATGTAAGCCAGCCACTTCATACCTTTACCTCCCCTATTTTAAATAGCCAATTGCTAATTTGTCCATCCCTATCAAACCTGTACTCTGAGGAGACAAGCATGGTCTTTTCTGTCGGGAGAATCTTCTGTTCTGCTTGGAAACTTCAGACATCTGGATCCATAAACAAGCAAAGTCCAGCCCAGCACAAGCCATCAAATTGCAGCAACTTAACACCAGCTCAGTGACAAACATCTTCCTCTTCATTTGGTTGGGTTCTGGTCAGCTCAGCCCTAGCCATCCCAGCTAGGTCATGGGTACAAGCTGACAAGTTTGGGAGTCACACTCTTCCCTTCACTTCAGACCAGCCAGCACCTTCTCTCACATCTTCAGTCCTCAGGGACTATTTCAATGCCCACAGGCTCACAACTCCTTACACTTCAGACCAGCCAGCCCTTCCTCTCATCCCCAGCTTCTCTGGGCTAGGTCAAAGAGTACCAAACTCAGCCCGTTTCTTCTTTGCTGCACTTCCCCCATTTCCACTCAAGTGGACCCAGGTGATCACAAGCAAGTAACATACAAGCGTACTACTCACTGGCTTCCTTTAACTTTCAGTCCTGGAAGGGGTTTCTCTCATGGACCATGACTTTCCTGTCTCAATGCACCCAAAACCAGTCTGGTTGCTCGAAATTCAAAGAGCCAAACAGTCATTTTTTTCCTCTTCAGGTCCTTATTCAAATGCAAATCTTCTGTTTCTTCAGTAGTGCTGGGTGGGGCTCAGGTTTTCTACCTAAGCCCCCCATACCCTACACACAGGGTTTGAAACAAAAGCCTGTGTTTTTTTCTGGGCAAATTCTATCACCCCTTTTAAAATATCCAACCAAGTATTGGTTGAAGGTGGACTTACACACTCTCTGTTATCCACATACCCCATAATCATTCCTAACGTACAAGCAGGTAAGAGAACATTCATTACCTGTAGTACATTCAGATAAATACATAATCCAAAACATATAATCCTTTGTAAGACATTCCAGGTTTATCACTTCACCTTGATTACAATCCTATTCTATGCATATGGCCTTGGGCCTTTGGCTGGGTATAACCAAAAGCCCTAGCCTCTGGATCAATTATCTCCTTTAAGAGGTAACACCAAACAAAGTAACCATCTAAGAATCCAAAGTTTCACTGCCCAGGCCCCTTTCTTCTTTCTTTTACAACATTCCATGCTTCTATGAGTCTGGAGCCACTGCAATGAATCCCACTGCTTCTGACACCAATCACTAAAAGGGCAAGGAGGCCACATATTCTGACCTCCTCTAACTACACAAAAGGAAGACAGAATCACCATCAGTAGCCCAAGGCCTATTCCTGCCAGGCCAGACATGCAGCCTCCCTCCAGCCCTTTCACCAACCCTGACACCAACCATTCCTCCCCACAGCACTCATCACCTTTCTGCTGGATTCAATAATTCACTGCAGTGGCCACACAGAACTCACAGATTATGGGGTTTATTAGGGAAGCACCAAGCTACAATTCAAATTCAGGAAAAACTCTCAATCTCTCTCAGCCCACCATCTCTCAGCCAACAGTCTTCCACAGTCTCTCCCAGCAGTGCATGTCCCTTGGTGTCTCACTCAGCAATGGCTATCTCTTACGTCTCTTTCCCAGCAGCATATGTGTCTCAGGAGTGCGTGTCTCTTTCAGCAGCATGTCCTTCTCAGCCAGCAATCAGAGAGACTTCTGCTTCTAGGAGGCCTCCTTTTGAGCTCAGCAGAGTGACCAAAGTAACCAATCATAACATCAGAATTCTAAGCACCTGAGAGAGAGAGCAGAACTTCCCAGAACACTGCTTTGTGCTGCTCCAACAGAAATACCCCAGGTGGATGATTTTAACAATCAGGAGCTCCTCATTTGCTCCCAGCAAATTCCACCAGGGAGTTTACAAAGACTCATGGCTAGAAAAGCCATACCAGGTAATTTATTACACTGTACCAACCATACAAGAGATGCTAAAGGGAGCCCTTAGGACAGCCAACAACAACTGACCATTAACATAACCCAGAAACCAATCCAGCTTTGGAAGTATCCAAAGTAAAGAAGCCTACAAGATTGTAAACAAGGAACCAGAGACATCAATTGAAAATTAGGACAGCTGCAAACCAAAAAGAGGAAAAAATTGTGTCATTACAGAACTTCTAGATGGTAGGGAAGTTAAGACAACTACAAGATAGAATGGACTGTTCTAAACTTGGGAAGAAAACTATAAGTCACAGGGTAAACTCAAAGAAAAATGATAAATAAGAAATAAAATAGAGGATCAGCACAAATATTTAGCAAATATGGAAACAAAAGCAATGAAGGAAGTGATAACACGATTCATAAACAAAACGAGCTCAGCATGAAAAATTATATGGAATGAAAAATTTGACATCATGAATAAGCACATAACAAAAATGATAGCAACAAACTCGTATTTACTGATAATTACATATCTTGCAAGGGACTTATCTCTAACATCTATAGAAAACTCTAACACCTCAGCACCAAAGGAATTAACAATCCAATTGAAAAATGGGCAGAAGACATGAAAAACTATTCACCAAGGAGGATATTCAGGTGGCCAGCTAATACATGAAGTGATGCTCACAATCATTGGCCATCAGATTGATGTAAATCAAAACAAAAATGAGATACTGTCTTGCCCCAGCACTGATGGCAAGGTTCAACAAGACAGAAAATAACAAAAGCTGGTGGGGATGTGGAGAGATTGGGACTGTCATACACTGCTGTTGGGACTGTGAAGTGATACAACCACTGTGGAAAGCAATATGGCAATTCCTTAGAAAGCTGAAATTGGAGATACCATTTGACCTAGAAATCCCATTACTAGGTATATATCCTAGAGAGGTGAGAGCCAGTGTGGTAGTTATGTTTGTGTGTCAACTTGGCTGGGCCTGGTTGAGTGACTGGGCAGCTGGAGGTAGTTATTCCCCATGATGAGACTGGCAATCAGCTCCATGGTGGGATCTACCAAAAGCAGCTGAGTAGCTGAGTAGCTGCTTTCGGGATGTGGTCTGCTTCCTGTATATAAGGAGAAGCCTTGGGAATGGTCTCTAGCTTATGGCACACTTGGACCCTGCATGTAGCCATGTTATTTGTTCAGCAGGCTGCCATGCTCTGCTGACCTTAGAACTTATAATGGACTTAAATTGGTGGCCTGCTATGTGGTTTAGTAACATCAGGACTATGCCATTTTATTTGTTGACCTTGGGCTTGTTAGCCTCAGCAGCCAGTAGCTATCTGAGTGAAGAGATGACTCTAGCTTCAGTGGGCTGGGAACAAGATGCAGAGCTTCAGCCCAAGGTCGAGGGGCTTTCACACAGCCCTTAGAGCCTGGCAATTTGAACTTGGATTTCTAGCCTCCCGAACTGTGAGAGAATAAACTCCTGTTTGTTAAGGCCATCCCATTTGTGGCATTTCTGTCAGAGTGACACTAGGTAACCAGAACAGCCAAGATAAGAGCAGATACCTGCACACTCATGTTCATCACAGCGCTATTTACACTAGCAAAAAGATGGAAACAACCTACGTGCCCATCAGCGGAAGAGTGAATGACCAAACTGTGGTACATACACATAATGGAATGCTATGTAGCACTAAAGAATAATGTAGCATCTGCAAAACACCACATAATATGGATGAACTTGGAGGACATTATGCTGACTGAAATAAGTCAAACACAGAAGGACAAATATAGTATTAGTTTGTTGTTGTGGAGGGTCAAGGAAAGGTTTATATATGGAGGGAAACTTTCTTTGTTGGTTGCCAGGGGTAGGAAGAGAGGGGAAGGAAGACAGCAAAAAAAAAAAAAAAAAAGCATTGATCCATTTCACTTTAGTTGTGTGTATTTCACTGTACATAAATTATATTTCAATAAACTGCATTAAAAAATTAAATTCTTATGTGCCTCAAAAGACTTTGTCAAAAGAGTAAAAAGAGAACTTACAGATTGTGAGAAAGTATTTGCCTATGACATATCTGACAAAGGACTTATTCCAAAATCTATAGAAAACTTCAACACGTCAACACAAAAAAGACAAAGAACCCAATTAAAAAATGGGCAAGAGACTTGAACAGACACTTCACTAAAGACAATACGCTGGTGGCCAACAAACACATGAGGAATTGCTCCTGATCACTCACTAGTCATTGTTGTTGTGTTGTTGTTATGTGCCATCGAGTTGGACCTGACTCATAGCGACCCCTCCTTGGGTTTCCGAGGCAGTATCACTACGGAAGTAGATTACCCCATCTTCCTTCTGAGGAGTGGCTGGTGGGTTTGAACTGCCAGCCTTCTGGTTAGCAGTCAAGTGCCTTAGGCACTATGCTACCAGAGCTCCCTCACTAGTCATTAGAGAGATGAATATCAAAACAATGAGATATCATCTCGCCCCTGCAATAATAGCAAAGTTCTACAGGACAGAAAATAACAAATGCTGGTGAGGTTGCAGACAGATTGGAACTCTTCTGCACTGTTGGTGGGATTGTAAAGTGGTCCAATCATTGTGGCATACGGTATGGCATTTCCTTAGAAAATTGAAAATAGAAATAGTATTTGACCCAGCAATTCCATTACTAGTAATATATCCTAAGAGGTGAGAGGCAGTACATGAACAGACATATGCACACCTATGTTCTGCAGCACAATTCACTACAGCAAAGAGATAGAAACAACCTAAATGCCCATTCACATATGAATGGATAACCAAATCATGCTACATTCACACAATGGAAGACTATGCTACATTAAAGAACAATGAAGGATACGTGAATCATCTCACAATGTGGATGAGCCTGGAGGACATTATGTTGATTGAAATGAAGTCAATCGCAGAAGGACAAATACTGTATGAGACCATTACTGTAAAAAGACAAAGAAGGGTTTGCTTAAGAAAGGGAACTCACTTTGAAGGTTACTGGGGTGAGGAAGGAAGAGGAGAGATTAATTTCAGGCTAGTTGGGGACTACACGCTGATGTGGGTAAGAGGAAGGATGTATAGAAAGAGTCTGTGATCACCATGATAACATTAGGAAGAGGAGGATACCTAATTGTGCACATAAGAGATAGATGACAGATGCTAATACCAACCAGTGTGCCCACAATACTGCATTACCATTGACACCAAAAACCAGGCTACAGATAAACACATAAACACCTGAAAGGATCAGATGGGGGTCAGTGAACAGGCGTATACTCTAGACTAAGAATAGATTCAGCGGAGGCTAATCTTGCACAAACACCAGCAATATAAAATACCTGCAATCCTTATAGAAACAACAGAAGACAGACATAGAGTAATCCCTCACAGACAGCCAGACACTATGGGAGAGAGATCCAATGAATCTACTGACTCAGGACCATAGTACTGCGGGATACCAGACTCAATTGGCACAACAAAATACATAAAAGTCTTGTTCCTCATCCTATATTGGTGAGTTGCGACTGGGGTCTTAAAAGCTTTCAAGTGGCCATCTAAAATGCAGCTAATGGTCTATTGTCGGAAACGGAGAATAGTGCAAAAAAGAAAAAGAAAAAAAATATGAGCATTTGGAAGCAATCAGCCCTAGGACATAATGGCCCTCAAGATCAGAAGAACTACATGGTGTCCAGTTACCAATGTCAACCACTCAGGAAAGGATCAAATCTGGAGATCCTGGATAGAGTGGGAGGAAAAACAGAATAAAATCCAAAAACTCAATAATGACCAGAATTACTGGTCGGATGGAGTCAGTGGGACCCCCAATACTACGGCCTTGAGATACATTCTGGGCCTGGAATAAAACTCACTCCCAGGGCCTGGCTCTCAGCCCAATAGGAAACAAGATGTACATGCAGACCATGTGTATGTGATGCAGAGTATGTGATGCACCCACATACTCTATGGAAATGCATTCCTTGGAGCAACAGATCACAGGGCACCAGAGGAACATTTGCAAGGAGGAAATGCAGGATACCCAGGATGCATAACTATGAGGGGAGCAGGGGAGGGGGATTATTGGGCAGGGAGGGAAAGAGACTGGGTTAGGGTTGGGGACGGTAAATGGGGAGTGAAACTAAATGTACAGAAATGTTGAATGTAAATCAAACTCTGCTGTGTAAACTTGTACCTAAAGCACACACACACACACAAATTCAGTGCACTTACATTTACATGGCTACATGGGAATAACTAAGGAGCTAATTAAAATGACAGGCTTCCAGACCTCACCATCCGCTGAATATGAATGTATGGGCAGTGGGTTTGAGGAGTC